CAAACCAAACCAAACCGACATATATATATATATATATATATATATATATATATAAAAAAAAATTATTTTATTTATAGATAAAAAATATTATTTATAATCTACTTTGTTAATATATTTTTAGTTAGTTTATAGTTTTCAATGTATATATATTTTATTTCAAATTTGGGCTTGCAAAATTTTGTAAAAACTATATATATAATTTTATTTTATTTATAGATAAAAATATTATTTATAATCTACTTTGTTCATATATTTTTAGTTAGTTTATAGCTTTCAATGTTTATATATTTTATTTCAAATTTGGGCTTGTAAAATTTTGTAAAAACTATATATATAATTTTATTTTATTTATAGATAAAAATATTATTTATAATCTACTTTGTTCATATATTTTTAGTTAGTTTATAGTTTTCAATGTTTATATATTTTATTTCAAATTTGGGCTTGTAAAATTTGTAAATATTTTATTTTGTATTAAGATCCGAAGTTACAATTATATTGTTATAGTTTTTCAAATCTGAAGTTAACAACTTAGTACTTTGTAAAATTTCGTTTTGTATTTAGTTTGACTGTAATGAACGTTGATATTTCAAAAAAAAAATTGTACTCATGTGAATTTTACCATTTTTACGAAAATTTCTATTCATTTAACATTTCTTAAATTTAGCTTATCACACATGTAAGTGAAAATATATTTGATCACATTTTCAAACATCGTATAATTGTAAAAAACCGAAACCGAAAAAACCGACTTTGCGTGGTTTGATTTGGTTTTTAGATTTAATAAACCGACATAATTGGTTTAGACTTTTTTTAATGAAAAATCAAATCAAATCGACCTATGTACACCCATAATTATTACTATGTTATAGTATTCGCAAAAAAATCATCAGATACCCTCTGATAGATATTGTTAAATTTCTAATTATAGATGATTTTTAATGAAGTTTGTTTGCAATAAATTTGAAGGTGATAAAAAATAAATCGTAATAAAAAATATAATATGATGAAACATATTTATTTGATAAAATGATGTGAGTGCTAATATATTTGTTTTCTTGATTCTTTTATTTGAATTTTCTTTCGTGATTTAAGCAACGTATTTCTCGAACGTAGGATAATTTGAATCTGCTTTGAATTTATTTGATCCCCATATAGTTTTAAAATTTGTATTGAATTGACTTATTTTAAGCAAAAATAGCTTTTAATTAAGTACTATATATTCCATCTGTTCCATTTTACGTGATATCATTTTCTTTTTAGTCCGTCTCAAAAAGAATGTCACCTTACTATATTTTTAAACAATTTTATTTAAATTTTCCTTTTATCCTTGATGAAATAATTTTCAAGCACACAAAAATCTAAGTATTGTTTTAAATTACAAAATTTAAAATATTTTTAAATATTATGTTGAATCAAATAATATCAAATAAAATTAGATCACAAAACAGACAGAGTATATAATAGTAGTACACATCTTTGAAGTTTCATCATCTTATATTATTTGCAGTAATCTCTTGTCAAGTCCTTTTTATTTAATTTGTTTGTTCATTAGATCGAGTATCCAACACACATGCATGCGTCGTTCACGACTTGACACAACCTGAATAGTATCTCGTTCGATAAATTTGGAGGCGGAGCTAAGTGGGGGTTTGTTGATTCAAACGAACTCAGTAGCTTTTTTGTAGATCTTATAATTATATTAAAAAATTAAATAAATATATATAAATATTAACTTATAAATTTCCTAACAAATCTGATTGATATCTCAGTGATAAAGAAGGGTCATGGAAATCTTTTCGCACTAGTGTTGTAGGTTCGAACCCTACTATATTAATAAAAGTTTCTTTTAAAAAAAAAAAAAAAGGAAGCATGTTTTCTATATTTTTCTCTACTATCCTAAAATTTAGAACTCCCAAACTTCAAATTTTGGTAACCTCTTTCCCGGTCAGAGATAGGAAAGAATCCAAAGCTTGCAAGGACGTTAGGCTTCGAACGCTGTTAGGACAGAGAAATTGGAAAGCTAGGACGAAATAGCCTACCTTGAATACAGAATCAATTACCAGACGGACTGGCTGGCCCACTTGTACGTAATAGAATCGAAATCAAATGCCACCTTCACTTATTATTATTATTATTATTATTATTATTATTATTATTATTATTATTATTATTATTATTATTATTATTATTATTATTATTTATTTATTTATTTTAAGTTCAATTTAGAAAGTGTTTTCTCGAAACTCTTAAATTGCAATTAATTTTTTTAATTTTTTTAATTATATATTAAGTCAAAACCAAATAAAACAGTAACATTTTCCTATCCTAAAAATATCATGACATTTGTCAGATTCTTCCACTAAATAAAGATATAACCCCATGAATTTCCTATTAACCTTAAAAATAGGGAAGAGAACAGCGCCGCTCCCACGTGAATATTGGACAAAAACAAAAGAAAAAGAAAACATAAAGGAAAGGAAGTCTTTTCATAAATAAATGATAGAGATCGGTAAATGATATTCTTTCGATTTCATGAATTACTTTGATTTGTTTGATTTAGGCAAGAAAAAAGACTTTTGATATTTATAGTCTAAAAAAAACTTGAAATCTTTTTATTAACATAAATTGATATTTTAAAGTTGAATTGTTAATTTATTTGTCTCAATTTATGTGACATTTTCATTATTTGAGAGTCAAACAGATTAAGTTTGATCGGAATTTGTGCATGTTTTCTTCAAAAAGAAATTGAAATGAAATTTGTATATTTATAAACTACGTAAAAAGTATTATAAGTTATAATAATCAATAATTTAAAAGATAAAATTTTACGATAAAAAATAAATTTGTTTAAATCTCAAAATTTGAAGAGTCCCATATAAATTGTGACGGAGAGAGTACCAAATGGAGTAGTAAAATAGCAAATAAGTCATGTATATATATCATCTTTTAGATACCACATATTTGAGATACTTTATTATTTTCCTTAATTCTATGCATTTGGACCGTTTTTGGATAAATAAATTGTTCATGTATATCATTGATTGCTTTGAAATTGTTTATCTATTCGTTTTTAATTTATTTTTTTTGTGATAAGTTCGATTGAGAAATTGTAGTTTCTTATTATGAGTTTCGTTATGATTAGCAACATTTCATATTTTAGTTTTCTACTTTTCCTTACTCTAACGTTACAAACTCAAAAATGTATATTTCATTTAACTTTAAAAAAATATAATGTTTTTTGTTTTAATTTATTTTTCTTGTTTTTTTTGTCCGGTTTAAAATAAATGTCTTTTTTTTTTTTAGTTTTTTCTAAAAAAATTTTACTTTCCACAGGATATAATATCACAAGAATAAAGGACATTTTGATATGTTTTAAATATTTTTAGTTTAAGATTATAAAATTTAAAATTATTCTTTACTTTTTATAAACTTCATATTAAATCAAAATCAGACAATAAATTAAAACGGAGAAAGTAACGTGTAAATTTTAGATCTGTTTCCGCAAACAAACATGGATGCAAAATTTGATAGCAAAAAAGTAAAGAAAACAACCCTTAACCAAAGCTCTCATGTTCGAGCTTTGGTATGAAGAAAATTATGTTGGGACCATCATCCTTAAATGACCTTTGCAGTGTGTGTTTTAAATTTAATTGGAGATACAATACCAACTTGAAACACCGTAGAAAACAAAAAGGAAAAAAAAAACAAAGTAATACAAATGAAATGACGCTTGCCACCCAATGACGACGTAGATCTTTTAAAGCAATGCATTTATGTAATTTTGGCCATTCTCTATTTCATTTTCAAGATGGTTTATTCTTTCCTGCTTAGTATATCGTATTCGATTTGAGATTTCAATTAATTTAAATTAGTAATACCTATGACCTATTTAAAAAGTAAGCAATTATCTTTATCGGATCATCAAAATTGGAATATAAAATTTCTAAGTACAAATAAAAAAAATTACTCATAATCCTACTCATCCAATCACAATTTTGGGTGGCTTATTTTCAAAACTTCACATCTTCATACAACACATATAACACTTAAGTAGTGTTTGATGAGGAGAAAAAATAAAATCATCAAATATTTAGAATTTGAATATTTCTTTTTTTAAAAAAAACATAAAATATAATTTAAATGGTGTTAATCTATAAAATATCTTTTGGAAATAGTTAAAAGGTTAGAAGCACCAAAACCAACCAAAGCAACTGCTGCTTTACTTTGTTCTGCTCTTTTCTTTTCTTTCCCACCAATTATTTTGAAGGTTCCTCTTTTTCTTTTTTCTTTTTCTTTCTTTCTTCTACTCCCTCTCTTCATCATTCAATTCTGTCAAGATTCATTTCCACTTTTATTCTTCTTTCTTTTTCACACTTTCTCTCTTCCTCTACTTATGGAATATAATACTACTTTCAACCCCTTTAAACTACCTATTTTATTAACCAACATTAAGGAATATAATTCATCTACTACTCTCTTAGTCTCAAATCATATGACACTTTTTATTTTTTGATTTAATCAGAAATTTACGCATGAAATTTTAATTTTTTTAAAATTAAATTTATATGTTTATAAATTATATAAAAAGTACTGTAAATCACAACAATTGTTTAAAAGATATATAAATAATTTATAATAAAAAATAAATTTATTTATCCGAAAAACGTAAGTAAATTAGGACGGGAGAGTATCACTTTTTCTTGGTTTTGAGCAAATGGCTTATGTCAACATTTCTTCTTGATTAATCGGTCAAAATAAGAAATTAAAAAGGAGAAGGGCGTTGATCCCAAAGTTATGGTAAGTGATTGAATATTTTGTTTAACAGTTGTAATTAATTGTTAAATAATTCAAGAATATTCTTCCTCAATGCTAGGGATATTCAAAGCAAATAAAACTACTTATACTGAAAAATAAAAATATACTAGTATTTAATAGCTGCCCCATTTAGTCATAAGTAAATTAAATCCCCAAATAAGGCAAGGAAAATATATATAAAAAAAAAAAGCAACACACTTTCATTAAAATACAGATAAAGAGGAGTATTATTTAATTAACACTTGGTACTACACGAAAAATAGAATAATTATGAACTAATTATACTAGTAGACTTAAAATTATATTATTTTTAATTGTGGACAATTAGATTAATAATTATAATTAATAAAAACATGGAAATTTTACTTACTATACCACATGAGTGATGACACCGACTTCCACAAGCTTAGGAACAAGTCGACCACTCAAGTGAAGTGCAACAAGGCTCTCTAATCCACCGACACGTGTCCCACCAATAAAGACCGCCGGAGCATCGGCGGGAATATTATTAACGTGATGATGATCGTCAAGATCTCCGGCGGAAGAGGGAGGTAAGGCAGAGATCTCTTCTTCCTCTAGTTCAATTACAGTTGGGTAAACACCAATAGCAGATAGTAATTTCTTCATGACGTGGCACATGCAACAAGAGGAACGAGTGAAGATTACGACGGGGTTTTCGGAGATGAGACGTTGAATTCTCATCTCCGTAGACTCCGTCACATCGATAGCAAGCGGGGAAGTGGTTGATGGGGTGAGTTCTAGACGCACCCCTCCTTCTCCGTAGAAGTTGTTGGTTCTCATCATCATGTAGAAAAGATTTTTAGGTAGAAAAGAAAAGGGAAGGGGGAAGGGATTTTATTATATAAATGGGAAGGTGGCAAATAATGTTACATCACAAAGTAACATACTACGTAAGTTATGCTGTGTTTATGGGGATTGCCATAACCCCCCCTTGGCCCCCCACCCCCGTCCTCCCCTAGTCTTATTAGTGGATTGTTTTATGTGAGAAATTTATATGACTCGCACGAGAGGGGAAGTGAGAATCAGGTGCTACTACACGACAAAAGAGAAACATCTATCTCTATCATCTATTTCTCAATTTTACACATTACCTTTACCTTTATTAGTATTCAATTCTAAACCATGTTTTAATAGTAAAATGTAAATAGGTTAAATTAGATTTATTTATTGAGATAAATACCTCTAAATTTGATGTGAATTGTTGCTTTTGTTTTCAACCGTCTTTAAAAAAATCCTCTTTTTGATTAAGTGAACTACTAGCAAACTCTTGTAGGAGGGTGAAACTTTTTAATAAAAAAATTGAGAGAAATGTTAAAAAAACTCCTAAATTTGACATGAATTTATGGGTGTATTTCATTCATGTGACAAGATTAGTGGTGTATTTAAGTACAGTTAATCAAGTAAAGGAGTATTTTTAAGGTTGTCTATAATTTAAGAATGAAACTAATAATTCGCACCAAATTTAAAAGTATTTTTAACACTTCTTCTCTCTTATTTAATTTACATTTTTGAATTCTAATTTTGTTATTCATTATTCAAAATAAAACTATTGATTGTAGATGAATTCATAAATCCGTAACTACCATATCAAATCTCAAGGTATTTATGATCAAGTCAAGATAAGGTCAACAATCTAATCGTTGCGAAAAGGTATGAAATTATCATGAATCGCTACTCAACAACGCTAACATGAGTTCTAATTTATCAAAACAATGAATTGAATATACCATTTTGGAAGTGGACTTTATTTCAAAACGTGTCAGTCACTAATCGGCACACCTACTCATGAAGAACTGGCTTCTAGATAATCAAATATCATTGGTTATATTAGGTTATTACATTTATATTTATATATATATATATATATATATATTATTTTACAAGCTACATTTGCATTTTCCCAGAGAACATGTCACGTTATTCTGTCTATTTGCATAAAGTCTAATTGTTTAAGATTAACAAAGTTGACCTCATGCCCATGCCGACGGATTTAAACAGGAAGAGAAATAAAAAATAAATGGAAAAGGATCAAAACTATCCTTAAGCTATTTGAAAGAGCTTAAATATATCTTTAAATTATATTTCGACTCAAAAATATTATTTCCGTCAAACTATTGGGTCACACTTACCCTTTATTTAATGAAAGCATCCATGTGTGTGTTAAATGTCACATGGACACTCCTAACACACCCCACTATCACATAGACAAATTAAATCCTTAATTTCACTTTTTTTTTTCCCTCATTTCCCTTGGAAACAATTTCACCCGTTTATTCATTTTGCGGATGGGCTTTAAATCTGTCTTCTTCGAAAGTCTAGCGTAGAGAACGGAAATAGGGCGCGTGGGAGAGTTAAAGAAATTGGGGAGTAGGAGGGTAGGTCGGAAATAGTGTAAAGTAGTAGGGGTAATATTGAGAATAGAAAAATGGGCAGAATCACATGGAGAGATGAGAGGCTTTATTTTCTCCTAATAGGTGGGGGCACTGGCACTTCATGCTGACGTCATTAATTGACACACCCTTTAGCTACTACGTAATTTCTATATTTAGCTGACGTTTACTTATCTCTTTTCCGACAAACTTGCTATACAAATAATCCACACATGACATACCTAAAATTATCGACACACATGACATAATAGGTGATTTCAAACTCTTATAATGACATAAGACTCTTGATAAAAAGTCAAGAGAAATGTTAAAAATTGATAAAAAAAAAATCACGCATGTTGCAAGATCCGGACTCTATTTAAGTTCAATTAGTCAAGTAAATTTTTTTAAGATGATCAATAATTTAGGGATGAAACTAATAATTCACGCCTAGTTTAGAAATGTTTTTGATATTTTCTTTTTATTAAAAATAAAAAGGAAATTTAAAAATTAATTAAATAACAAGATATGTTTTTTAAGACTGATTATAAAAATATAATATAATATAAAGAGTAAAAAACAAAATTTGGGACGAGTTTTAGGAGTGGGGTTTTATTTATTAGTAGTAAAAAAATATAGGAGCAATTTATGGTGACAAAAGTATCTTTGAGGTGTAAATCCTACAATATGAACGTACACTTACGTGTTGGATAGATTTTTATTTGGAGAGTAAGTTAGAAAAACAATCGAATTAAAATTAATATTGCTAAATAAGTTTTATCTTGTTACTATTATTATTATTTAAAAAGTTTATAAACTTAATAATCGGTTTTTTTTCTTTTTACCCCTAAATTTTGTACTTTTCCTTCTTTTTTCACCGAATAAAGCGAAAACTAATCAATATGCAAATTACAAAGTTACCTTGATTTGGTTTAATTTTTCTGACTATAGGTTTTGGCTTCTTTTTCTATTTTTCAAGTTAATTTATAAATTTTATTCAATTTTCTTTTGAGATGAACAATTTCAATTATTTTTGTTAGTTAATTATTGTTTTAAGTTGAAACGATTTTATGTACATTTACACTTTGGTGATATTTTCTTGAATTTTTAATATATTTTTTATTTTTTATTTTTATTATACTAATTTACAAAATATGAAGATTTTAAAGATTCATAAGCAACGCCTTGAAGCTTATGTCTTCTCCATATATATCAGATAAAATGCCTCGCATTGAGTTAATTAGGAACAATTATGTAACCGTACAGGTGACGAAAAATATTTTCTAGAAAAATGATTGTATGTATATGTAATGTATCAATATTGTATAAATAATTTTATAATATATATTTAATATATAGATATTGCATAAATAGTGTATAACTATGTTCATATGATGTATAACAATGTATAAGAAATGTGTATACATCTATATATGATGTCTATATAACATTTATACAGTGAAACCGTAAATATGATGTATAATCATATATCAAAGGTGTATATACATTCTTTATACATTGCAGTAGTTCATATTCCTTAACGACTTGATTTTTTTAAATTCCAAGCAACTCAAATCTCCTCTATATAGTCTACAGATATGAGCTCCTTTTAATATATCAAGTCTTTTAATATAATATTCATTCTAAATGATTCACGCTTGCAACAAGTTATATTTTAAAATTTGAATTTCAAAAACACTTCAATCCATTGTAAATAGGATAACTTACATAAATTCCAAAGTGTAAAGAGTAAATTACATCATATCCCTACTCTTTTTCTATGTCACGACTCAGACCGTCGTGATTGGCACCCACTCTAACCCTTCGGTGGGAGAACCACTACTACAGTCCAACTAAGCAACTTAACGAAACTAAACCATTTAAAGATACAAAAACAGATTTAAATGACAACTAAATAATGAGTTCCCATAAACTCCGAAGTTTAACAAAAACAACTACGCATAACTCTCGCGGAAATTCAACCCCTAGAATTTGAAAGTCATTGTACCAAAACTCTACCAATCAACAAGTCTAAGGAAAAAGGGGTGCAACCCCGAAACTAAACATAATCAAAATGTCTGAACATATAGTCTGAATTTGAAAGGAATGGACTAAAACAAAGGATGGATCCATGACAGCCTGAAAGAACTGGCTCACCCTCGAATCCGGTCTTGGTCAATGATCTCCTAACTGAGGTCTGTCAGTAGCCGCCTGAAGATACTCTGTACTCAACAAAGAAAGAGCAAGTGCAGTATCAATACACGAAACCACAGTGTACTGGTAGGATGACGCGGCTACTCCAGTAAGCACACTATAGCAAGTAATTACAACACAGTAAACACACATATACAGAATGCAAAGTTCACTTATCATTTTAGGAGCAACATACAATTTCCCAATATCAATGACATGTAAATATGAATGTAATAATCACAAGTGGTTCTCTTATGGAACCCACACCCAAACTGTTAGTGTGTCGGAACGTGACACCCGATCTAATATACATGTGTCGGAAGGTGACATCCGGTCCAATATATGTGTTGGAACGTGACTCCCGACCCAATATATGTATCGGACCATGACACCCGATCTAATCAGCACAATCACAATCACACCCATAATGAACAATACTCATACTCATACAATCAGGTAATAGGTTCATGGCATGTAATTGCTCACACTAATCATTTCATTATATTTAATTAACATTCCCTATTCACATACATGCACACATACAATGAAGCAATTAACCGGCATATATCACACAACAAGAAATTGAATCATCACCTACCTCAAAATCAAGTCTGAATACTCCTAAGACATGTGGGTCTTCCCTTTCTGGAGTCTTTCAGCTCGTTCTTGATCTAAAACAAGCAATTAATGCAAGGATAACTAAACAAGGTCTAATTTACCCGGATAATAACAAAATTATTAACCCAAAGCCAAATCCATGATCCTAATGTTCAACTAGGGCTTTTCCCACCATTAACTTCACGCCAAAACCTCCCCAACGATAATTATCCAAGATTCTAAGTTCTAAGAATCAAAATACGAATTAGGGGAGTAATTAACTTACCTTTAGCTCTAGAATTCGTGGGAAGTCGTCCCTTAGCTCTCAAGAACGAAGTTTTACAGAAATAACATTTTTTGGGGTTTTTTCTCGATTTAACTCGCGACTGGCCCCCCACAGCGGCCCCTTCCTAGCGGGATAAATTTCGCCCCAGCAGCTTGCACGGAGACAGAAACTCAAAACTTGAGTTCCAAGCTCCTATTTCACAACACACCTTTAAATCTGGACGTTTTAAAACTACTCTTTCACGCCAAGATCAATTTCGGGAGTTTTACTCTCTCGAATTCGATTCCGTAAAGTCATACAGGCTTTTTAACGTCTTGGTTATCTACTCATGTGATCAAACTCATA